TCAGTTGTTCTACGACAGTAGTTGAGAAAAGAAGGTTATACGTTTTTTACGAGGCTGCGTGCAATGCAGTTCTCATTTTTCATTTTTCAATAAACTAGTCATCTTTGTCATAGGGAAGAGACGCCACGAGTCGTTATTTTCTTCGTGCACACCCAACATTGGTCCTTCAAGCCGGATTATAGCAAGCTTGTGGATTTCGTGAAACAAAGAATCTACAGTGATACTTACTTCGCCACGTTTCGAGAACATTCGATCGTGCGTGCAAAGGTTTTCGAGAGCTTTCTCGTGCATAAGTGAGCCTGTGCAAAATAAAGCAGGCTAGTCTGAGGCCGACGTACATAAGATCGCTGGTCAGCAAGACACATTCAAGGAATCGGCACAAGCTCAAAATTCTTCCCAAGTGAAGAAACCGTTACATTCAAGGCACGCCATTACGAGGACTCGGCGCCATTAATAGGACAGGATCACGAGTCTAATCAGTCGATATATCGACATAGCAGTTTCGTACGACGCCGTTACGAGGACTCGACGCCATTACTAGGACAAGGATCACGAATCGATACATTGACACAGCAGCTTTCGGTAAGTCTCCAGAATTGCCCGTTTTTTATCCATTTCCACATTACCCATCGCATTTGCATTTCGTCAACATCCGTCAAAATGAGTCACGACGATAAAATAAAGAAGTTAAAGATTCGCAGGGGCCAAATAAAGGCACAATGTACAAGAGCCCTTAGCACAGTCGCATCGACTACTGTTCGCGATATGTCAATAGCACAATTATTAAGCGTAAATCGAAGATCGAAACGGCGTGGTCACAATTTGATGAGGTACAAGCAGAAATCGAATCACTACAGAACTCCGTAGAGTTATCAGAAACGCATGAATTTGTGAGAATGGAATTTGAGGAATCGTATTACGATGTTATTGCCAAATTTTAAGATCTAATCATAGCTCGCGATGCAATTAATATTCCGGAGAGCGAAACGCATTCAGCCAATCCCGGTAATCGAAACCAGGCGACTAACCGAAATCTAAGACTTCCTAAAATCGATCTGCCATCTTTTTCGGGAGCTTACAAAGAGTGGTATCCGTTCCATGACACATTTCAGTCACTTATTCATCGCGATACTTTCATCACAGAAATTCAAAAATTTCATTACTTGAAATTATCTTTCAAAGGAGAAACCGCGGAGATAATTCAATCGCTCGAGATCTCGTCAGAAAACTATAAAGAAGCATGGCAAATGCTAAAAAAACGATAAAATGCTAAAAAATGATAATAAGCGTCTAATTATGCAAAAGCACATTAAAGCCTTATTTGATTTACAATCCCTTGCTAAGGAGAATCACGCAAGTCTTCGCCATTTAGTTGACGGAATTCTGAAGCATATGAGGGCGCTAAAAGCTATTGGTCGTCCGACTGAGTCATGGGATCTCATCATACATTTGATAACCGGCAAATTAGATCATACCACAAACAAGGAATGGGAGAACAGCATCAAGGAGGCTGTTTATGATAAATGCGGATGATGCTGGGTTTCACTTTTTATAATAAATAACGAGAGCACACAAAGCACGTCTTGCCTATAATAATCTTTATTCGCCATCTTGGCTACTTCGCTTCTCGCGCCGCTTACGCTAGCTAACAGCCAATCACAAGTAAAGAGGGCGCCGCAAGTAATATATAAAATGTGCATGAACATGCCCCCCGGCATTGAAAGAATATCTTTCAATCAAAGTAAAGTTTCATTGAGTGGACTG